GCAAGGCACAGACATATGAGGCCAGGATGAGCATAGTAACCAAGAAGGAATGAGTAAAGGATGTTTTCTAGGGATGGGAGGGGAGTGGATTCCAACAACCAAACAGACATGTGGACTGAGATAGAAGAGGCAGAGACACCTAGAAAGTTTCAACTCTGTGAACTGTAGGACCAAAAACAAAACTAGGAAAGACAGGATGGGGACAAAGTTGGGGATGGTGGTCAAGGTTAGGCCTATTTTTTGCGTGTGAACCTGTAAAACAGAGGTGCTGACTAGCTACCCGAGTCAGTGACCAATAAATCATGGAAAGTCAGATCAGATATTAGGCTATAAGTGTGGAATGCTGAGACATGTAGGCACAAGTCATAGTTGAAGCCATGGAGGAATGCTGTGTTACTGCTCACCAATTTCTGCTTCCCCTCCCTAGAGGAGATTATTCTTCTCTGCCCATGATAATCAAGCTTGACCATGGGACTACATAAAGTAAAGTGAGAAGAATACTATATGTCACTTCCATTAAGAAGCTTTGAGTGCCTATTGATTCACTATCTTCCCCCTACCCATCACAATGCTATAGACTTGGTAATGCCCAGCTAGTGACTCCTCCATTAGCCTAGCCTGCAGTATGGGAAAAAAAAAAAAATCACAGCTAGTACATAGTGTGCCTGAGAAATAGTTAGTTGTAAAAGCTACTAGGATTTGGAGGTTGTTTATGACTGCACTATAAACTAGCCTAACTTAACTGATAGACCATGGGAGTGAATAATATTACCCAAAAAGGAAAACTAAAGAAACATCAGAGGATGACCAACCCTGGGACATAATTCTACGATTGTGAATTTATCATTTCACGGGAAAAAGAATGAGCTCCATCTGCTAAGTTACTTTGGGAATTCTTAATTTTTCTCATTACTTTTTCTGTATAAAAAAACTCACATTTAAAAAAGCTTACTAGATCAGATAAAATGATTCTGTCCATATTTGGAAATGTTTGCTCTTTGAATTAGTCTCTAATGATTAGCAACCATTCTTACATACCATCAATTTTGAGTGCTCAATATATTTTCAAAAATATTATTTTTGTCTGGAAATTTTTCTTTGAGTAAATTCACTAACCTAACACTCTTCATTAGATTGTAAGAAATAAAATTATGCTTTAATGTTAGGGAGTCTCATCCTGCCTAGAGATAGGGGAACTAGGCTTTCTGTGAGCAGTTGGTGGTTGATCACAGAATATTATGTGGCTCACCATGCCAGCAGGCAGACTGACATAAACAATGACAAAAAAAAAATCCCAAAATTATAGTTAGTGAATAAGAGCTTACCCTGCAGGTCATGTAGACATATTTGTTATCCCAAGGTAACAATTAAAATCCATAATATATGATTTAGGAATTTAAGAGAAATTGTCTGTCAAAATTATTTTCTTCTGCAGTGAAACTTTATGACTATTCTATTTCTTGTATTTTAGAGAATCCCAGGAAAATCTCCAAATCAATGTTCTAATTCAAGTCCACCCTGCTTCTTGTCCTTTTCACTATTGTCTACCCTTAAGGTTCTCATCTACCAAACCATTGTATACTTAGCTTTTTGAAAAGCAATTAGTTTTTTTATATATAGCTAGATTATTAAGAATGACTTTGTAAAATTAGTAAAATGTGATTTAATGCATCTATATCTTTTATGTATGGGTAAGTCCACAAATCACAAAACAACCTTGTATATGAGGCAGTAGCATTAAAATGTTTATTGTTAAAAAATACATGATCTTTGATTCTAGAGTCTTATCTCTCTCTCTCCTTTTGTTTCCAAATATTTAACAATTCTAGGGAACTAGCTCAGAGACCCATCTTGTTTTCAGGGTTGTATTTCTTTCTAATCAATATGAAGAAAAAGACAGTAATAAAAAGGACAAGTAATAGTTTCTTAAAAACTCCAATTTGTCAGCATAAGTGCATATGATTTATATCTCAGTACAAATGGGTAAGGAGGCTATGAAATGATAGGAGCTCTCTTGGGCTGCTTCTCATGGATAGTCTTGTGGAAATCCCAATTTAAGGATAGAATTCAGCTTAAAATACCTGGTGAGTGTGCTGAAATTGTTAGTCTTTCAACCTATATGACTTTTTTTTCTGGGCATATGTCCCCATGGATTAGGAAGATAGCATACTTCTGATGCTCATAACTTTCTTCCTTTGGCTTCAGGATATCTATGCTAACTTTACAGATTTTCCTATCCTTTCTATCCTTCTGGAATCTTCTTAGCTTCAGCTTGAAAGGTATACTTCAACACCATTCCAACCATTAGGTAAGTGCTGGCATCTCCACTGGGAATCTGTTTATTTTATGTAGGTTCTCTCCTACTACTTAATCCAAAACTTGTTTCCATTTACTTCTGAAAAGATAAAGCCTTGATGACTTCCACCCTTTCCATTTCAGTTTCTAAGGTTGAGGGATGGAGGTATGTATTCATAACTCATTTCGTATTCTAGTTTCCTAGAACTGTTAAATACTTAGAGGCATGAGATCCCTGGGTGGCTCAGTGGTTTGGCGCCTGCCTTCGGTCCACGGTGTGGTCCTGGAGTCCTGGGATCGAGTCCCACATCAGGCTCCATGCATGGAGCCTGCTTCTCCCTCTGCCTGTGTCTCTGCTTCTCTCTCTCTCTCTCTCCCTCTGTGTCTCTCACAAATAAATAAATAAAATCTTTAAAATAAATAAATAAATACTTGGAGGCAGAAAGAGAGAGGGATAAGACTCTAGAATCAAAGAGCATGTGTTTTTTAACAATAAAAAATTTAAACCCTCCTGCTTCATATGCAAGATTGTTTTGTTATTCATGGACTTCTTCATACATAAAAGATATAGATCCACTAAATCACATTTTACTAATTTTACAAAATCATTCTTAGTAGAAATATCCAGAGACTACACACATGGGAGCCTTTCCTAACTGAAGTTAGCAGTTTTACTCACCATGTACAAATATGTTTTTAAATGATGAGAATCCTCAATTTCACATGGATGTTTTGCATTTTAAAGAGGAATCATGGTAATCCAAATATTCATTATTAATAAAAATAGCTAATAATAGAAAAGACTCGGGACAAGCAAAAAACTTTAAATCAATCCCCATCTTTTTATATCAAACTAATTTCTTTGTTCTTCCTACCTACCTTTTTGCAAAAATATATATATATATATATATATATATATATATATATATATATATATATATATTTCTTTTATGCCAAGTATGGCTTTAGGAATCCCAATCTGTTCCCTGATATCTAGGAGTAGAAATTACACTCACCTGCTTCATTACTGCTCATTCCCCTACAGCCTCCAATATAAGGCAGTGACTTTTCAGTTAATAGAGAACAGATTAATGCTTTCTTGATAAGATTTTACATCTGAATTAATAAGATGGCACAATCCAGCTCTTGCTCTGGAAACCAAAGAATTGAACATGACAAGCACTTTCTTTTCAGTATGTTGTGACAAAAACTTGGATCAATCAGAGAACCAAGAGTGAGAGAAAATACTGCCATTCTACAGTCATTTTACTAAGTACCTACACCATGCTAGACCAGATTCCAAGGTACACAGATGACAGGTGCACTCACCCTCAGAGAGTAGTACACAGAGTTCTCAGGGAGTGGGAAGCATAATGCATCAACCAATAATACTTAGGTAAAGGACAGGACGTGTGTCATGGGAGCTTGGAGTGAACATCATTATCCCTTACCAATTCATATGGGAGCAAGCATCTCCCCAGATCCTTTGAAGAGCATATATGTGTGTCTAATCGATGCCAGCATATGTAATAAAGTTGCTTTAATCTGTTCTTTTTGTTTACTCTAGCATTTTATATTTTCATCAGAAAATATAATTATGGCTAGAATTTCTCTTCTAGTTAAGATATTACTACTGGGGCAGCCCGGGTGGCTCAGTGTTTAGCGCCACCTTCAGCCCAGGGCGTGATCCTGGAGACCCGGGATCGAGTCCCATGTCGGGCTCCGTGCATGGAGCCTGCTTCTCCCTCTGCCTGTGTCTCTGCCTCTCTCTCTCTCTCTCTGTGTCTCTGCCTCTCTCTCTCTCTGCGTCTCTCATGAATAAATAAATAAAATCTTTAAAAAAAAGATACTACTATTGATGATGATGATATAAGTACTTCCTGACTACTGTCATTTGCAGGGATTAGAAAACAACTGACACGTACTACCCACTGTGTCCCAGAAAGTGATTTATTAACGATACACCTGTGAATCACACAGGACCTCTTTTTATGTAAACACTGAGGACCAGTGGTCTTATATTTAAAACCGCCAGCTTGGGAACCCCACTGGCTTCCTCTGCTTCCTCTGCCATGAATGAACTGGTTGTTTGCAGGAGCTACCCCAAGAGGCCATTCAGAGGCCATTATTTCACTGTGAAGACTCTGTTAAAAAGAATAGTTGGTATCAATAACACTTACCTGTGTATGCAGAGGGAAGGTTACCCAGCCATAACAATCCCAGAATCACACAGCCACTACTTAGAACAATGCGGTGTTTGGGATTTATGAGAATAAGTCCTGTCAGTAATAATGCCCTTATCAGGGCCTTCTCGATTCATTTGGCATACGTTGCAGTGTACTCACAGTTAAATCAAATCTGCCATGTGGTTACAGGCTAAGGTGCTGCATATAAGATGTAAATGATACACACTGAAAAGGTTTACTTCTCAAAAACATGGCTTCCAGTGCCTTTATGCTTTCGTGTTCCTCTAAAACAGCCATAGGACCATTTCAAACATAAAATCTGCAATATAACTAGTGATTATCTTAATTAATTGCTGAAGGGTATTGGTAAAATGAGGAGAAACAATTACCATTACACAAAAAGATGGATCAAGCATGAATCAATGCGGCAGGAACGTAAAGAAACAGACAAGGGGCTAGACAAGGGAAGGGACCCCCAAACAATGATGATGACAACAACAACAAAGATCATCGCTTAACCTGTTTTGTCAGAGCTGGTATTGATGGTATTGGTAGTGATGGAGGTGAAGGTAGTCTTTGCGCTGTCCTTGGCAGTTACAGATTTCTGCTTATTTTTCATGGCTTCCAGTGCTTTGAGCTTCTTGGCATGTTTCGTGCCTTTGTAGTGGGCCGCAGCCTGGCTCTACAAAGGAGAACAAAATGAACCATGCAATCAGGCTCATTTCTAAACTGGCATTCTCTGTATTACTGCAAATACAGACTCCCTTTCAATAATAGGTACCATTCAAGTTAATTCTGGCAGTGGCCAAACAGTAGGGTTCTATTTAGAATGATGCTAGAAAGCAATGGAAATCAAGTTCTAAAACCTCTGGATGGAAGGAAGAAATACTCTATCATTTCCCCAAAGAGAAATGTAGCTGGACACTAACATGTCAACATTTTTCTTGGTGGAGTGGGAAAAATTAAGAATCTATACCCATATTGCTTTTATTCTTCCACAGAAGATGCTGGGCTCCCAAAGAGTAACGAGGGTCCCAGAAAACAGTAGCTCTCACCTTCATGGCTCAGGAAATATGTTTTCTTTCTTACAATGGGTCTTATTAACGTGATCCCCAACAGGTGTCTGTCTACAAGGAAAAGTTCACATATAACATGGGAAGTGGGCACCCTGGGGACTAAGATTGAAGTTTGGGAGTTCAAAAGCAAAGGCACTGCCTAAGTCCAGATGAAGAATTCAGAAGCTGGGCAATTTCCTGATTCTTCCTTTCTCCTTGCTCCCTAAACAGGTAGTCTGAGAAATTCAAGGCAGTGGCATTCCATAAACATGCAGGTCTTTCATGCCTTGGTCCCTTGTCAGGAGACTCCAATGTGTTTTACTACTTAATGGGGCCCATACACAATTCTTTTACTCATGACTGATGAGAATTCTTTAATAGTAATATACATTTTCCCAAGTTTATGTTTTCTTAACATGATTTTCTTGTTGTTGTAGTTGTTGTTACTGGAAAGACACGTTAATTGAGATAGAAAATCATTTCAAAGAATTCTATGTTTATTAATGTTTATTAGGGGGAGAAAAAGAAGGCTGTGTGGCTTTGGGTAGGATGGGAGTGGGCAGGGAGATTCTTAGATCTGAAGGTTTCCCAGCTCAACACCCTTAAAAAGTCATCTCACAAAGAAGAAGTCTCAGTGGAGGACTCTATTGGTTAGACTACCCATTACTTCCCATGACTTATTTAAACTCTGTGTTCCACTCCATGTTCTGGCTCCATTTTGCCAGAAAAAAATAATAACCACACTGTTCTCTTTGTCACAGTAACTGTGGTAGGTAGGGTTGCAGTATAATATATTTTTATAAATAGATAAGTAAATAATCCACACCTTCATTTGCATCATTCTGACAAGTATTCTCAAAGGTCTAGGTACCCTTATTGAAAGAACACTGGACAAGGAAATTATATTAGAAACAGTTTGAACAGAGAGGACACTCATGCATCAGTTACAAGTTTTCCAACAACACATAACATCAAAAGACATAGTGTGAGCCAAAATGTGAAACTAAGACTTGTTATAGTTAATTGAAGAACCAGTGATAGATTGGATTGGGTTGATTCTACATAAAGAATGCCACTTTGATGGACCGAGTTGCATTCCTTCTTTTTTTCCCCTGCCTAGTTCTCCTTTTTTAATAAATCAAGTCCTTGGCCATATTTTTGAGGGCAATATACTATATTCAATTAAATCTACAATATAAACAGTCATCTTCTCTAGACAGTCACCTTCTCTAGACAGCTGGCTACATACTTTCCCTTAAAGCGAATTTCCTCTCTTCTCTCTGTCAGCATTCCTATCCTTGACATAGAAGTGAATGTTTTATATATAATACATATTAAAGGACAAAGTTTAGATTAACAGTGTTATCTCCACTTACATTTCCAAAATATACATTTTAAGGTTCCCAGCAAATCTGCATTCTCAGTAGTATTTCAAATCAGACAAGACTTTGTTTTAACACACCAAAGGACCAGGTGAATGTAACTATTTTAGATAGTAAGAAACTTACTTAAAAAAAACCCCACAAAAAAACCCACAAAAAGTCCTGCAAATGAAGACAGTACTTACACTTCCCAAAAACATTCTCTGCACCCGTACAACTAAGCCAATGCTTCCAACCAGTGAAATGGCTCAAGGAGTCATGAGAAGGGGGTGAAAGAATGAGCAATAGTTGGTAGGCTCCAACCCAAGGGAGACATCTGATCCATTAAAACAGGATAAAACTTGCATACTCACTTGTTAATTGAATAGTAGTTCCAAAGCATCTTGATAATAATTATTTTAATTAAAAATTATCTGACTTTTACAAAAAGCTAACTAAGCCTTCTCCAAATTTGAAAAAAAAAATGAAGATCCAAAGTGCTATGGAGAGATTAGGACATGTAAAATTTAGGGGAAATGATAAAGTATAGAGGAGTTGACAGTACTGGAGGTGACACCAATGTGATTATGATGGTGCAGGACATATGTGTTGAGGAGAAGGTGGGCATACAAGTTGGAAACCGAATTGAAACAGATAACCCTTTCTGGGTATTTCACATTTTCTTTGTCATAGACCTTTATTTAATGCTTGTAGAATTTACTGGACTGCCCTTGGGTTATACTGGTATAAATTTTTCTAGTCTATGCATATTGACCCCATAATTTTTGATCCATCTTGACACAGGTGTGTTATATAAAAGTGTGTTCTTTGTGTAAAGGAAATATATCCAGTGAGCTCTCTTTAGCCCTTTTGGCCATTTCTTGGACTGAATAAATTATTCAGCCCCATCTAATATTTCTATAACTGTAGACAAAGCTACAGTCCTACTGGGAGATTTTTTAAAAGCAGCAGTAACCAGAGATGTTTCTTTGGACCTCAGCTGCTTTTCATTTGGGCAGAGAGGTGCTGGATGCATCATTCCACCCCATGTTCCTTCTGGGGTGGTTTCCTATTATTAGCCAGTCTCTGAATCAAGCCACTCCCAGAAATCTGGGAACCATAAGACAGAAGCAAACCATTATTTTTCACAGGAATGATTTTAGGTTAAATAAGTGTACTGCTTCATGATGGCACATTTCAGCATTCTGTATTTTAAAACTGAAACAGAATCAGAGGATCATAGTATACACAGAAGTGAGCAGAACAATAGAAACTGGGCTTTGACAACTTCCTTTTAGATAATGAGTGTAATATGAAGGTACTATATAATAAACATCACTACTACTGACCTTGAAATAGCACATGACAGCATGAAATCTAACAAGTGTCATCCCAGAGGCAAGTGCCGACATTAAAGATATGCACACACATTTCTGTAGAATAGAATGATGCCACTTTAAATGTCATCACCATATCTAGTCATCAGTGGCCAGTCAGATTTTCTCATCTTCAAATTTTATCTTTAGAATTTCAAAATGGCTTCAAGTTTAAATGCAACTGAAGTTCCAAAGTAGACAAAAATAATTGTTAAATGGCCAAAATTGGGAGAGGAATCTTATTCTTTGGAAACACACACATTTATTTTACTTTTCTAAGAGGCTAATTGATAAATCACTTATATCTTATGAAACTCCCTGAATAATTTTGTTAATATTAATATTTACCTATCATTTTATCTTGTTAGCACCAATACATGGTACATTTTTACTCTCTCTTTAATATAAGGTGTCATAATAAGATTTTTAAAAACCAAGTTTATTTTTAGCACACACATCTAGTTCCTTTAACAAATTAATTTTCAAGAAGACATGGGACTTCAAAAAGAACACGGTAGTCTTTGTTAGGGTGCAATATCATGTAATTTTGCCACATATGAAATTGTATTAAATTAAATGAACATTATCATATTAAAAGGCAACACTAGAAAGAGAAAGAATAGTTATTAGAGAAGTTGTAATTCTTTTCGGGGAGTAGAGAGATAATACTTGAGCCAGGGAAATTATTTCTTACTTTCTTCCTTCCTTCCTTTATTTATTTCTTAGAAATTATCTGATATTTTTAATTTTAGCTTAGATTGTAGTTTTGGAGATAAAAAAGAAAACAAAATGGTAAAGCATGGTATAGTATCCTAAATTCTACATTTACTTTAGATTTACATTTAAGGATTATTAAAAAATTACTTCAGGAAAAAGTTTAACATTTTGATTTATCTATGTATAGTTGTTTTTATGTTGTATATATTCACTTAAGTTTAATACTGAAGCACAATGCACAGGTTCAGCCCTATCGGTTAGGGCCAGTGTGAATTTTAAATTGGTCAGCAGTTTATTAAATATTTCAAATATCACTTTTGTATAAGCAAAAAGAAGATTTCTATTCTATCTTATTCTATCTTTATTATTGTTATTCTATCCTTATTGTATTTATTATCAACTCTCAGCTTCATTTAATATTGATATAAATAATTCGTTCTCAAAATATGGTTTCCAGACTAGTAGCAGCAGCAGCAGTTGGGATTTTGATAGAAATGCAAATTCTCAACCTCCATCCCAGATTACTGAATTAGAAATAATGGAGCTGGGGGATTTACCAGTCCGGGTTTTATAACCTCTCCAGGTGCTTATAATGCATACTAAAGTTTCAGAACCACTCATCTTAAATATATTAGAGCATTTTTTCCAAGCCCTTCTTTAATAAATAGCCAAAAATCTGGATTTTTCAAAAGATATTTATTTATTTATTTATTTATTTATTTATTTATTTATTTATTTATTTTTACAGAGGGGAGGGGCAGAGGGAAAGAGTCTCAGGTAGACTCCCGAGCATGTAGGCCACACTGACAATCCTGACATCAGACCTGAGCTGAAGTCAAAAGTCAGTCACTTAACTAATTGAGCCACCCAGGCACCCCTCAAAGTCTAGATTTTTTATGATTAACATTTAATTATTTGAAGATTTAACATTTACTAAATGTGAACAATGTATATCACTTGAGAAAAACCAAAAGTTTTTTTTCCTTAAGAACAAGTCATAACAAGAAATAAAAAATAACTGATACATAGGTAGTTGAGGAACTTCCATCAAAGAGGGATGATATAGAAGAGCAAATCAATCTTAGTAATCTCCAAACAATTCTAAAACCCCACAGAAGTCCTTACCCAGTCCTTGTAATTTTTTCTTTCCAGTTTTCTCCTTTCCTTTCAAGC